ATATATATACAGTATATTTATTTGGAAATGGTCAGAACTGGACTAAAAGGAGTGAAAAGCAACTTAAGTTCAAAGTAAAACTTTAAAATAGCTATTAAAAATAACTTGCAGAACTATTGATCAAGACTTTGATAGATTATAAGAAAATCTGTTTGCTTTGTAGCAAAATGCATAGAAATGATTTCAGAAGTTTGCAGTAGATTTTTGTATCTGTAAAACGGTTTCCTAACAGCTGATTCTTAATTTAACTAATGTGTTTTATGGAACTTTTTTGAGCAAAAGCACAATGTACATTCATAAAATATGTTACCTAGAAATCCAGAGCAGAATTATCTTTTGCTGATGTATTTTTGAAGTATTCAGACAGCAAATTCAGATGGCACAGATGAATAAACTGACCTTTTTTTTTTTTTGCTGTAAAGACCAGCCTCATTAAAGGGGACATTTGCTAAATTCACTTTTTTTTAGCTGGAGTTACAATAAAAATGAATTCAGACTAATTTTCACTTTATACAGACCCCAACTGAATGATTGAAATGTGAAAAAGAAGGATGTAAAAGCTCAACATGTCTCCCATATTGGGATTGTTAACTTCAATTTTCTATTACTAATACTTTGTTTTCTTTAAAATGCRCAAAATGTGTTCTACTCTGAAGCTTTGGCCTAGCACAGACTGATTTATTCACTGCTGCTTCCGAAACTTAACACAAACTAGGATCAGAAGGGTTTTTTCTGTAAAGTATGTTTCTTCTCAGTTCAACCCAGTTTTGTGGAGACAGTTCAACAGGACATAAAGCTAAGTCTGTAAAACAGCATACAAATAAAAAYGTTTACCGATTTATCACACATACATGACATAGAAAACATAATGCAGTAATTTAAGTCTTGTGTGAAGACATATCGTGTTTGCTGGTGGTCCTTCAGTGAGGCCAAGCACACAATTACATGTTCAGTTTTATGAGGATGTGGTCGTGTGCGTCCCAGACCTATAAATAAGAGATTGAGTTTCAGCGTGTTCTCAGAGTGTTCACCTTATTATTCCCTCAACATGATCTGATCAGCAAGGATTTATGTTACCAKCATTTATAAACAGAAATAAAAATGTTTGGCAGTGAGTACTTGATGAACTTGAGGTAATTTAGATGATTAATTAATAAGTTGAATGAATAGAGACTTGGAGGTCGTTTGACCACTAATTCATTTGTAGTGACACATGAAAAAAGACCCATCAAGAAATAAAAGTGTGACCTGAGTAAAACTCATGGCACTAAGTTGAAACAGATGAATATAATGAACACATGGAAAACATAGAAGAAGCACAGGAATATATGGAAGCAGTTTTGTGAGCATGAGTTCTTCTCCCAACACTTCACACAGATCAAACTCAAGAGTTCAACCAGTTCATGTGAAGAAAACCAGGAAGTAGGAGACCACCTCAAACTAATCTAATCCACTTTCACATTTACCAATCGTCCTTCTCAGCRTGATCTGATTACTTTTTTTAAATTTTCATTCATGTTTGAATATTTCAGATTTTTTTCATCTTTTCACTTTCATTTAAGTGAAACTGAGCATGTCATCTCCTTTTTTATTTAAAAGAAAGTATAAAACCTGATTTCCTCTATAAAATGTAATGTGGTAGAAAACATGAAAAATACACGTAATCACATTTAGATTCGTTTTAATTCAATTCAATTTAAAAATACTTTTTTT